AAGTAATATCGGAAAAGAAGAAGTCCTTAACTGAACAAGAAGCCATAGTCCATATGGACTTTTCAGAAAATTTTAGTACGAAATATAACGAAGAAATCCAATCTTTTCATTTTGGGGGATCTCGTACGCAGCTCTCACTTCACACAGTAGTTATGTATTTGAAGGGATCTACAAGATCGTATTGCACTGTATCAACGGATTTGAGTCACAATGTTTATGCTATTTGGGCCCACTTAAAACCAGTACTGGAAGAATTACCATATCAAATAGAAACCATCCATTTTTTGAGTAACGGTCCAGTAACACAATATCGTAACAAAATAATGTTTTTCACGCTAGCATCTAAAATGACATATCTGTGCCCTGGACTTGTAAATTGGACTTGGAATTACCACGAAGCAGGCCATGGTAAAGGAGCACCAGATGGTGTAGGCGCTGTATGTAAAAGAGCTGCCAATGATGTCGTAGCATGTGGAGGTGATGTTACTAACCTAACTGAGTTCTGCGGAGTCATTCAAAATCGCTGCCCTGGTGTGACACTTTTTATCGTCACTAAAAGTGAAATTGAAGATATGGAAAAGCTGATTTCTAGCGATCAACAGAATTTAATACCTTTTAAGGGGACACTCAAAGTCCATCAAGTACAGGGCAGTGCTTTCATGCCAAGAAAGCTACAATTGAAACCCCTCAGTTGTTTTTGTGATGAGGGTATTATGTGTAAACATTACCGGATGGGTTTACTAGAATATTCTGCAGGATCACGACAAATATTTAAAGACGTCTACGAAAGTGAGACGGAATTAAAAGATCAGCCAGATGATATGAGCGTTGCAAGCGATCTTACTTTGAATTTGGAAAATCCAGAAGTTTTAGCCACCATGCCTGATTTGCAAATTGACCCGACTACTCTCTTCCCAGACCTATCACAGGAGCCGTTAATAGAAAAAGGAAATCAAAGAAAAGTTAAAACCCAAGAAATAAAAGTTGATACTGTCACCGAACACCCAAAAAAGGGAAAAGAAATGATATCAAGGAAAGACAAAGTTAAAAAAGCGGCTAAATACAAAAAACAAGACTCAAGACAGAAAAAGAAATTTAATTCTAGAAAACAAACAGATAAAGAAAATGAATCAAAAAAAGCACAGACAAATAAATACGAGTTCAGTGACTGCGAGTGCCTTATATGTGGTGTTCTCTACAGTGAAGATACGTCAGGAAATGACTGGGTCCAGTGTCTAATATGTAATAATTGGGCACAAGATGGATCTATTAAAGGTGAATCTACATTATTTACATGCCCTGGGTGTTTAGCTGATTGTGATTACAAAAAATAGTTTAAAAGAATTGAAACGAGACTGTCAAAATTATTATTTTTGTTACTAGATTTAAGTACTAGATACTACTAGATTGAAGTGTCGTTTAGTCACAATTTGTTACAAAAACTTCGTATTGTTACCTTTAAGAGATATTTTATTATTGAGAGAGAGATTATTAATATCCTTATGTTCAATAATCATTTGATGATTAATGTTCCTGTTGAAGGCAGTTCTAGGTATAGAATTAGTATTTAAGCTACTTTTTGTTATTATAAAAGATACTTTGATTACTTACTTACTTATCTTCACGCACAATCCCTGACGGGGTAGCCAGAGAGAACAGATCGCCAAGTGTCACGATCCTTACAAACCTCTTTCGCTTCTTTCAGATTCATTATCTTCTTCATGCATGCACGTCTAGGTATCCGAGTACTTTTGACCTTACCCTCTTCGAGCAATTTGCTCACATGGCCTTCGAAGGTTAGTCTCGGTCTACCTCGACACCTTTTAATATTAACTTTCGCGCTATATATTTTCTTCACCATTCGGTCTTCACTCATTCGCTCAACGTGCCCAAACCACCGAAGCACGCCCTTATCAATTTTTGTGATAAGGTCATCTTTCAAACCTGCCATATTGCGAATCTCTTCGTTTCGCTTTCGGTCGGCCATGGTAACGCCGCACATTTTACGAAGAGATCGCATCTCCACTGCATTCAACTTACTTTTATGCTTCTTCTGGCATACCCAGGTTTCGCTGCCATATAACAAAGTCGGTACCAACACTGCGTTATGTATTGCAAGGCGTGCACTCTTCGCTACGCCTTGCCTTTTGACTAACGCAGTCAGGGCACCATTGACTTTGTTCCCGGCAGCGACACGCCTGTCCACATCTAAATCACATCTTCCATCCCGGCTAAAAGCACTCCCCAAGTATACAATTTCATTTACCTGTTCTAGACATTCCTGATTTACCCATATTTCACACTTCGTTCTCTCTTCGTCCCTTTCAAATACCAGAACCTTAGTTTTATTAGCATTCAAACGGAGACCTTTAATTTCACATTCCTCTTTCATACACGTGACTAATGCCTGCAGTTCTGCCTCTGATGGTGCAATAAGCACTGCATCATCAGCATACAACAGACAATTTACTTTAATGTCACCCAATTTCACACCCAAACAACTATCTTTCAGCTTCTGTAAACAGCTGTCGAGATACAGTATGAACAGCCAGGAAGACATGACACAACCCTGCTTTACGCCCGTTTGGACGTTAAACATGGGTGACAGGTCATGTCCTACCCGCACACAGGCTTTACAGTCACAGTAAAGAGACTGCACAGCCCTTAGCAATCGACCATCCACACCATACCCCGGCAACAGTTCCCACATTTTCTTCCTTACAACCTTATCAAATGCTTTCTCAAGATCCACAAAAGCACAGAAAATCTTCTGGTTAGCAGCCAGAAGCTTCTCCGTGATCATGCGGAGAGAAAACATTTGATCCGTGCATCCTCTTCCAGGTCTAAATCCGCATTGTGCCTCCCATAGAAATCTTTCCGATTTCTCTTGCATCCTACGTGTCAAAACCTTCGAGTAAACCTTACTTGCTAAACTGGTCAAGCTGATCGCCCGATAGCACCCGCAGTCAAAATGTGAACCTTTACCTTTATATAAAGGCACAATGACTGCGGATCGCCAATCATCCGGGACATCCCCCGTCCGCCAGCACAAATTGCACAGCAGATGAAAGCTGTCCCAGACGCGAGGCCCACCATACTTGACCATTTCAGCAGTAACTCTGTCTAGTCCCGCAGCCTTACCACATTTCAAACTTCGAATCGCACGTTCAATCTCTTTCATACTGATGACCTCAGTGTCATCGAGGTCCGGGTCTGGCGTACCAGTCACGGCGTCATCCCCGGATCCCTCACTAAGATCATCACACGCATACATTTCTCTATAAAATTCGCTCCATCGCTGCATGACGTCCGATTTTTCTGAGAGGACGTCATTAGTTCTCGAAAGCACTTTATTCATTCTTAAGGCCGTCGCACCACTTCGGGTCCTTCCAACCTCTTTCCAGAAGAGTTTGGAGTTCTCCTTAAAGTTGTGCGACAACCTTTCGTCCGCTTCCATTCTACACCTTTCACGCACTTCCTCAATCAGTGCTTTCGTGTGAACTTTCTGCAGCCTATATCTTTCTTTCATCTTCTCTCTCATATCCTTATCATTACTAGAGGCCAAGTAGTCTAACCATGCTTTCTTCTTCTTCTTTACAGCTTCTTTCACTTCATCATTCCACCATGCATCTCTTCTTTTACTACTGCCTCTTTTTATTGTTCCGCACACTTCTTCCGCTGCACTTACCATTCCATCCCTAAGGTTCTGCCAAGTTCTTTCTACACATTCTTTTCTGCCATCGATGGTGTCAAGCTTTTCGGCTACCCTCGCATGATATTTGTCCCTAGTATCCGCTTCCTGAAGCTTCCAGCTTCGGATGCGACAGACCGACTGTGGTTCTGTTACTGCCGTCCGGTAGCGCCAACCCGCGAACAGACCCCTAAATCTAGTAATCACTAGATAGTGATCCGTTCCCAGGTCGGCACCCCTGAACACTCGCGTATCCATCATCTGTTTTCGCAGTCGGTCATCCACCAGGAACAAATCAATCATACTTCTCTCATTCTTTCGTTCTCTAGTATACATATGGATTTTCTTGTGATTAAACATAGTGTTTGTCACAAGAATAATACTTTGATTATTACAAAATAATGTTAAGAGGCAAATTTTTAAAATTTGTGACATAAATTATTGATCTCGATTGATTTTTGTTGTTTTCCTCAGCTTCCTGGTGACACTTTCAGTTTCCTGTGGCTCGATTTTTTTTAAATGGCTATAAATCAAAAAATATTAAATATTTTGACTGTTCCATTTAGGATAAGCTAAAAGACACTGTACTCTATTTATTAGACTGAATTCCGCCACCAGAATGTATAAAAAATGTCGGGCCGAAATCAGGCTCGAATTCTTCCTTAGTTTGTAGAACTACCCATATAGGTAGTAAAGTTATTAAAGTCTTACATGACATAGAGTAGCGCACAATTTTTCTTTGGAATAGCTTCTCTAGTACGTAGTACATATAACTCAATGTATAGGATACTTTATTTTTACTTGACGCTGGCAAGCAACTTGGTACCAGCCATTACCAAAGAAAGAATAATAAAAATTTTATTATTACAAAATTTGTATGATATTGGTTAAATTATTGATCCAAAAGGAAGGGAAGGAAAGCCCCTGGCTTTATTTCATTCGATATATATTAGTTGATATTATAATAACACTTGGACATAGCAACTCGCATAAAACTGAAACAATAAAAATTGTAACCGAGAATCTGTCTGCGTGTTTGTAACATCTGTGTCAATAAGGACTGTTACCATATTGCACAACATGATGTATATAGTACCGTCTGTGGGCTCAATTTTAAAACAGAAATATATTTTTTATTCGAAAAATCATCATCATCATCACTCTTACCAGATTTTCGTGTCCCTAACATCTTTATATATGTACTTACGAAAAGAATCTCACGGGGCAAGTTATAGACCTAATGGGGGTTTCAATTAAACAATAAAACCAATACTGCTTTATATTAAAACTAAAAGGAATATGTACTTACTTCTCTTTTGTCTTCTCCCTCTCGCTTAAAATTCCGTTGATGACAATAGCACCGAAGATTGCAAATAGAAGGAAGAACGTAACTTCGGAATGTATTTTGAAGACATCGTGCAAAGGATGATAGAGCGGCACGAACATCAATACACCGCCCGGCATGCCCAAGAGAGAGGAGATGATCAGTGACTTCCATTCCACGGACTTACTTTAAAAATTAATAATAAAATATTTATTTTTAACAGGATTAAACACAGCAAACGATTGGATCACTTCCAGTCTAGTCGACACTAACACACAAATTTTAACATTTAAAAATGCAAATTATAACTACTGCTAGGTATCGCAGTGCCTAAGGCGTAGCGATGCGGCGCTGCAGGCCGCAGGTCCGAATCCCACACACAACCAGTATTTAGATCAAAATAATTGTGCCGGCTATACACAATAAATTCCTGGTTCTGGTGGTAATGTTTTTAATATAAAGTAAAAAAAGGAAAAGTAATAATTTTGCATTTGGTAGCTGTGGTAGTCTCGGGAACTAAACGCTTACCGTAAATTTAATAGTATGCGAGTAACCAGAGTTCGATCTCTGCCAATGTATTGTTAATTGCAATTTCAAATACTAGTTAGTATATTTAGTGCTCGACGGTAAATGAGAACATCGGCAGGAACACACAATCACTCGAAACTATACGCGCGCCTTTGGTCTGCCGCTTCGATCGAAGCGGAACACAGTCGGCGTAAGTGCGCGGTGATCAACGACAAACGCTTCGGCGCGTGGCTTATTGACAGGCTGTTTTATCACATACATAATTTTTTATACAATCTGTAGCCAATTTATAAAAAAAATATAAATTCCACAAGAAAGCCACGGAACTGTAGCCCCTATCCTTACAACCCCATCAGCTTGATGCAGTCTACTGTCAGACATAGGCTTCTCGTGTCGTAGCGAGAATTTGACGTATTTACCTCGCTTGGCAAGCGGATTGGGGATGACGATATCTGTTGTCTGGAAATATGTCGCCGTCTATTATATTATACCGCCATCTTTTGGAGACTATGTAATTTTATGAGATTTCCAATAGTCGACACTCATGGGATAAATTGCGGTGATTGATTCAAGGGCAACAGTCTATAGAATATGTTCAAAAGGCTTATTTATTACTTACTTCCCTCACTCTCTAGTAAACTTATATTCATTTAAGTTACGTACGTTGCTGACGTCCATTGTTCAATCTTGGGAGCAAACCATCTCCTGCTCTGGTGGAAGAAGAAGAAGAAACTAGCGGCAAACGTAGCGTGGAAATAGTAAGAGTTCCATGGCACCCAGTAGTGACGATCATAAATATTGGGGTCGGTATCGTGCCAGGTCCAATGTACAAACTTCACAGCAACTATATCATACGGGATGTCCACCAGGACAGTGACCAGCCCAACTGCGAAAGGCTCCGCGTAGCGTGGCAAGCGAAGCTTTGATACTGCATATGCTGCATGGTAAATGAACGCCGGATCTTGAAAGGAATAAAATATTTACTTAACTTTGTAACAAAAAATTTACTGCAACAAGGAAAACTTGTAACTGACAATTTCATGGCCTCATAGCTAGATTAGATTAGTAAGCTAAATTGGCCACGGGCCGGCCATAAAGCTCGAAGAACCGACAACCGATGGGGGAAAACAGGTTCTCGAGTGGCAGCCTCGTACCGGTAGGCGAAGTGTTGGGTGGCTCCCCACTAGATGGAGTGCAGGTCGTCACTATAAGACATGCAGGAAGTCAATGGATACAGATAGCTCAGGAACATGCGTTTTGGCGTTCCTTGGCGTCTTTAGCAGTGGACTTGTGAAGGGCTGTAATGATAGTGATGATGACTCGTACTGAGATGCGCAAAATATGCGCTATCATTTCTGAAGACCAATATATTGTGCCTATAGTTGCCGGTTCAGTGGTGTAGATAGGCATGGGCGAAGTGGGCCTTCGCCCATGGCCTCGCAATTAAAGGGGACTTTATCACAGATGACTTTATTTAAACTTAATTAATAAATTTATTTGATCACTTTTGCGTTCGAAAAAGAACGTCACAAATTTAAAAGCGTGTTCGTTTGGGGCCTCGCCCCTGCGATTGCGAGGCCGTTGTAACTACATTCAAAGACCGCATTGACGGAATACGAGACTAGTCAGAAATTAATAGCTATCGTGTCTAAGCATATATTATAGGATAGATCTATTAGGTACATCTTGGGAACGAAAGAAAAGGGGGCCTCGCTGATATGACTTCACCCACGTCTATATTACTCCACGCTACGCCTCTGTGCCAGTTATACTATGCGGTACTCAATAATAGTCTATAATTAATCTCTTCTTCTTCATCAACCCCTAAATGTCAACAGTTACAGGAATAATTTAGCCACGTTACACTTGTTGGCGGATTGACGATCTCAGTACCAGACGTCTCGGACATTCGACGCTATTGCCGTCGCTGCTCGGGGTATTTTACATCTGGAGTAAGAGACTTGATTATAACGCCACCTATCTTTCTGGATTTTTCTGGTATTTTCCATAGTTGCCCCTTACGAGGCTAAATAGAGTAATGTATACTTTTATCCGCCACCACACGGCAAAAGTAACCTACCTTATACTCAATACATTTTTTAAAGAATAAGGATGACAAACGAGCACACAGTCCACCTGATGGTAAGTGGATGTTGTGGTCTACATCTATCCTCGATTAAAAATCAATTGCAGTTGCGATGTCTCCCCTGAGCACTATGATGGAATGCCTCAAGCTGGTATTCTGTGAGAGCGTAGTCCTTTCCCGGTCAAAGCAATCCATTCGTGCTACAACCATAACATAGCTGCAACATGGTGCTACCACGACATAACAGCAGGTTATCCTATGACTCAATTTGTGTACTTTACAATACTGCAGATTGAAAAGGATCACGTCGTCGTTGTTACAGATGTATTTTATTATCTTTATTATATCATCAAACTAAGCAAAGTTATTTAAATTCAATGTTGAAGACCTCTGTGAATCGTTCATTATATGTAAAAAGTCAGAAGGATATATATACAATAGGCCTAAAACAATAATTAAATTTGAAATTAACTTACATAGAAAAATGATGTGAAGAGGCAGTCTGGCGCCCAATAGGATAATTGGTGTTTGAGAGTGCCAGAAGTTATCGTATTCGGGTAGCACGAAATGCCAGAAGTTGTCAGTGAAAAGTCCGTGAAGCACCGTGCCGAGCCAAAAATAAGGCCATCTTCCGCCTTTTCTAAACGCTGCAGTAAAAGGAACCTAAATTATTAAAGGTATTTAACGTTGTTTTTTTTATTTTCAACCAAAACTTTTTTTCAACAAAATATAATCATGTTTACTTATACTTATACTTATACTTATCTTCACGCACAATCCCTGACGGGGTAGCCAGAGAGAACAGATCGCCAAGTGTCACGATCCTTACAAACCTCTTTCGCTTCTTTCAGATTCATTATCTTCTTCATGCATGCACGTCTAGGTATCCGAGTACTTTTGACCCTACCCTCTTCGAGCAATTTGCTCACATGGTCTTCGAAAGTTAGTCTCGGTCTACCTCGACACCTTTTAATATTAACTTTCGCGCTATATATTTTCTTCACCATTCGGTCTTCACTCATTCGCTCAACGTGCCCAAACCACCGAAGCACGCCCTTATCAATTTTTGTGATAAGGTCATCTTTCAAACCTGCCATATTGCGAATCTCTTCGTTTCGCTTTCGGTCGGCCATGGTAACGCCGCACATTTTACGAAGAGATCGCATCTCCACTGCATTCAACTTACTTTTATGCTTCTTCTGGCATACCCAGGTTTCGCTGCCATATAACAAAGTCGGTACCAACACTGCGTTATGTATTGCAAGGCGTGCACTCTTCGCTACGCCTTGCCTTTTGACTAACGCAGTCAGGGCACCATTGACTTTGTTCCCGGCAGCGACACGCCTGTCCACATCTAAATCACATCTTCCATCCCGGCTAAAAGCACTCCCCAAGTATACAATTTCATTTACCTGTTCTAGACATTCCTGATTTACCCATATTTCACACTTCGTTCTCTCTTCGTCCCTTTCAAATACCAGAACCTTAGTTTTATTAGCATTCAAACGGAGACCTTTAGTTTCACATTCCTCTTTCATACACGTGACTAATGCCTGCAGTTCTGCCTCTGATGGTGCTATAAGTACTGCATCATCAGCATACAACAGACAATTTACTTTAATGTCACCCAATTTCACACCCAAACAGCTATCTTTCAGCTTCTGTAAACAGCTGTCGAGATACAGTATGAACAGCCAGGAAGACATGACACAACCCTGCTTTACGCCCGTTTGGACGTCAAACATGGGTGACAGGTCATGTCCTACCCGCACACAGGCTTTACAGTCACAGTAAAGAGACTGCACAGCCCTTAGCAATCGACCATCCACACCATACCCCGGCAACAGTTCCCACATTTTCTTCCTTACAACCTTATCAAATGCTTTCTCAAGATCCACAAAAGCACAGAAAATCTTCTGGTTAGCAGCCAGAAGCTTCTCCGTGATCATGCGGAGAGAAAACATTTGATCCGTGCATCCTCTTCCAGGTCTAAATCCGCATTGTGCCTCCCATAGAAATCTTTCCGATTTCTCTTGCATCCTACGTGTCAAAACCTTCGAGTAAACTTTACTTGCTAAACTGGTCAAGCTGATCGCCCGATAGCACCCGCAGTCAAAATGTGAACCTTTACCTTTATATAAAGGCACAATGACTGCGGATCGCCAATCATCCGGGACATCCCCCGTCTGCCAGCACAAATTGCACAGCAGATGAAAGCTGTCCCAGACGCGAGGCCCACCATACTTGACCATTTCAGCAGTAACTCTGTCTAGTCCCGCAGCCTTACCACATTTCAAACTTCGAATCGCACGTTCAATCTCTTTCATACTGATGACCTCAGTGTCATCGAGGTCCGGGTCTGGCGTACCAGTCACGGCGTCATCCCCGGATCCCTCACTAAGGTCATCACACGCATACATTTCTCTATAAAATTCGCTCCATCGCTGCATGACGTCCGATTTTTCTGAGAGGACGTCATTAGTTCTCGAAAGCACTTTGTTCATTCTTAAGGCCGTCGCACCACTTCGGGTCCTTCCAACCTCTTTCCAGAAGAGTTTGGAGTTCTCCTTAAAGTTGTGCGACAACCTTTCGTCCGCTTCCATTCTACACCTTTCACGCACTTCCTCAATCAGTGCTTTCGTGTGAACTTTCTGCAGCCTATATCTTTCTTTCATCTTCTCTCTCATATCCTTATCATTACTAGAGGCCAAGTAGTCTAACCATGCTTTCTTCTTCTTCTTTACAGCTTCTTTCACTTCATCATTCCACCATGCATCTCTTCTTTTACTACTGCCTCTTTTTATTGTTCCACACACTTCTTCCGCTGCACTTACCATTCCATCCCTAAGGTTCTGCCAAGTTCTTTCTACACATTCTTTTCTGCCATCGATGGTGTCAAGCTTTTCGGCTACCCTCGCATCACATAATCACTAGATAGTGATCCGTTCCCAGGTCAGCACCCCTGAACACTCGCGTATCCATCACCTGTTTTCGCAGTCGGTCATCCACCAGGAACAAATCAATCATACTTCTCTCATTCTTTCGTTCTCTAGTATACATATGGATTTTCTTGTGATTAAACATAGTGTTTGTCACAAGAAGACCCTTTTCCTTGCACACCGCCAGTATAAGCTTGCCAGCATCATTAACCCTTTTATCGCCAAACTTTCCAAGTACCGACTCGTACCCTGGTCGAGCGGTACCAACCCATCCATTCAAATCACCACATACAACAATTCTTTCGTTTCCTCTAGCCAAATCTAGAACTTCTCTTACATTCTCCCAAAACTCCTCCAGCTCAGCCCTGGACGACGAAGCTACCGGCGCATAAACAGCCAAAAGGAATAACTTCGTCAGTCCCAATTTAAAGCGAACCCAGAGGAGTCTTGAGTTCACAACCTTATATTCATTCATAACATCGACCAACCGAGAAGACAGCAGCACCCCCACTCCCTGGCAGGCGCTCTCGCTCTCCGGGACTCCTGACCATAGAGCTAACGCCCCGCCAGGGAGCTCTTCAGTACCACTGCCCTTCCGTTTGGTCTCCGACATACACACGACATCTAATTCTCTTTCTTTCATTATTTCGATCAACTCATTCGTCTTATCTCTCATGCCTCCTCTAACATTCCACGTGCCAACTCTGCACTCTGTCCTCCACCTTCCGCCGTGTCGGGCTGTGCGTGACGGGTGGCGATCCCCATCGCCGCTTTGCACGCTGCATTCCACACCAACGGGGACGAGCTGGTGTGCGTCGCCTTGGGGGGACGCCCTAACCCTCGTTGGCATGGGTGCGCAGCTAGTAGAATTGCAGCCCTGAAAAGGGCTGGCAGGGGTCGCGACGAGCACGCTTCTACAATGACCCCCTTTATTTATTTATGTTTACTTAACATAAATTTTTTAACTAAAAGTAATAGTTGATTAATATAATTTTAAAAATAGCGCAAAAACACAACCACTATAACTTTTTAATAGTAAGCAAATAAGTAAAAAAAAAAACTTAATAATTTAACTCACAACTGGCCTTTCTAAAATCTCTTGAAGTTACGAGAATTACGCGATCACTTTAACAAGGGCTACTGCAGGAATCATTGTAGAAAAGAAAAGACAATTGTTAAATTAACCCATTAAAACCATTAGTATAGAATAAATAATAGTATTACGTACCACTGCTAATAATAAGATTGAATCTACTAGATCTTTTTAACTGTTAATTTAAGCCAGTGTTTGAACTACTGTCACACCTAATGGTAACTGGTGATGCAGACGAAGATGGTATAAAAGCGTATCTCTTGCCTTGAAGACACCAACATTGTAATCGACTTGAAAAATTAATGATAGCAAATTGTTTCACTCTTTTGCTGTAGGTACGTCTTACTTACGAACGAAATACCTAGCAAAGCGTTTGGTTCGAATGCATGATATGTCGACAACAACCGAGAATCTTATTGTCCCATGATGGAAGATAAAGATCTAATAAAAAACGAAGCTAGTAAAACGTACGGAAGAACGGTCAAACTACTTACCGTGAAACAGCGTTACGAGGCCAGCTAAACAGTAGACCACCTGAGATATTATGTAAGTGGGTTGCGCAGCCCATAGCTGACCGACATCACGAGTCTGTACCAGCCACTGTAACAATATTCAAGAAAATATAAGGTTTACCACCAGAATCAGTCAGGGCCGTCTAGGAATAGGGGCCGTTTAGTATTTGTAGATTTCATAGAGGGCAAATATGGCTTTTTTTTATTAAACTTTTCTTAGGATCTTCAGAAAAACTTCTACGGCTAACAAAATTGACTAAAGTGATCATTTAACAGATTAAATTAAAATACTAATTATTATACAATTATCATTCAAAATAGGAATTCACTTTATCATATACGGGAATTGGACAAAAAAAAACACAAAAGAAAATAATTACCTTATTTTATATATAAAGTAAGATGACACTATTAGTGCCATTTCAGAAAAAAGGGCAAAATTTTGGACGCACTTGATACATTATATAAAATTTCAATAATTGGGAGTATACAGATTATACTTATATTGGTAAAACTATAGACATCTGGTACTTGCGTAAAGAGGTGGGAGGGGTGTGGGGGAGAGAGCCAGTTCTGGGGAAACGCCTCCTCATACCCTTCGGCCCTTGCGTAAAAGTATAGTTTATGAGTAATGATTTTTTTGTAAAATCATAACCTCACTTTTTACACAGGAATATTGACCCAAAGTTACTTCTGCAACGGCCTCAGCGCTGCGGGGAGTGCAGTCCCTTCGCCCTTGCGTAACAAATCGCAGACACCCATCCGCGCCTTCGGATTTACAAAAACACTAGGGGTAGGGCCGAGAAAATTACGTGGAGTCGGGGCGTTCTGATTCGGTTTAGTACAGATTCCTATATTATCTATAAATTCAAGTGTCCTAAACTCTGTTATGATAGTGGCAAATGAAACAATAATAGTGAATTGTTATAATTTTGTTTTCAGAAAACCTCTTGGCTGCTCGCTATCTCTACTGCGACTCAATTTGTTGTGTACATGAGTCCCCATCTTCTCGATTCCCTCGATTCCCTTGGAATCCTGGGCAAGCTCATCGTGTTGTACTCGAGGAAAGGGTAGACAATGACCTTCCATGGAAAGTGGCTCGAACCTTGGTCAGAACCACCGACATCTCAGGAGTACGTGTGCTGAATCTTTGTGATCAAGAACAGATTATAGAAAAAGCACACTGGTTGGTACTAGTGAGGAAGTGGATTGGTTGCGTCGGTGCCAATATCTATCGACTGGGAGCCCCAGCAAGGATGCAAAAACGAGAGTGACCACACTATTAGAAGACTGTCGCAGCGTTCTCTCCCAGAATGAAATGGTCAAGGCGAATTAGTTGTTACTCAAGTACGCCGATGTTTTCTCGTCAAACGATGCTGACATAGGAAATACTGGCTTAGTTCAATACAAAATAAGCACAGGAGAAGAATTACCTACCCGTCAGCGGCCAAGAAGATTGCTGGTAGCACGTGAAAAGGAAGTGGAAACCATGATTGAGGGAATGGTAAAGGATGGTGTGTTATTGAACCTTCATCTAGTCCATGGTGTTCACCTGTGGTGCTCGTAAAGAAGAAGGACGGTAGCATGCGGTTTTGTGCTGACTACCGCCGTCTGAACGACGTTACGAAGAAGGACAGCTATCACTTGCCAAGAATCGATGACACGCTAGACATGCTTACGGAGTAAAGGAGCTTAGCACACTGGATCTGAAAAGTGGCTACAGGCAGGTTGAAATTGACCCTAAGGACAAGGAGAAAACTGCGTTCTCGACAGGAAAGGGTTTGTGGCAATTTAAAGTTATGCCGTTTGGATTGTGCAATGCTCCAGCAACGTTTGAAAGGTTGACGGAGCTTGTACTTACCGGGCTAATTGGCGATGCCTGTCTAGTCTACTTGGATGGCATCATCATCGTAGGCCGTACATTTGAGGAACACCTTCAAAACCTGGAACACGTGCTCATGAAGATCCAGAGTGCCAACCTCAAGTTGAGTCCGAAGAAATGTTCACTATTCAAAGGGCAAGTTAGCTTTTTGGGGTATGTAGTGTCGGAAGCATCCGCACGGATCCAGAGAAAATTGCCGCTGTCAAGTTTTGGCCGGTTCCAAAAGACAAGACGCAGGTTAGAGCATTTTTGGGTTTGTGCTCCTATTATCGGCGATTTGTGAAGAACGTTGCAGATATAGCCAAACCTCTGCACAAGTTAACCGAGGAGAAGCGACATTTCTGCTGGGATGAAAGTTGCGATATCGCATTCCAGGAACTCAAGGACCGACTGTGCAAAACACCTATTTTGGCGTACCCTGATGCGGGCAAGACATTTATAGTTGACACAGACGCAAGTGATATAGGACTTGGCGGTGGGTTGTCCCAACGGAATGGTGATCAAGAGGTTGTGATAGCGTACTTCAGCAAGTCGTTGTCAAAGCCGGAAAGGAACTATTGTGTTACAAGACGAGAATTGCTTGCTGTGGTAAAGTCATTGCAGCATTTTAGCAAATATCTTCTGGGGCGTAAATTTCACTTACGAACTGACCATGCTGCACTAAAATGGCTATTGTATTTCAAAAATCCAGAAGGACAAGTTGCGAGGTGGATTGAAAGTAGTTCAATCCATCTCGCAACTTGTCCTTCTGGATTTTTGTCGTATTTTTGCAGTAGCAGGAATACGACTTTGTGATCAAACATCGCAGCGAGAAATCTCATGACAACGCAGATGCATTGTCAAGAAGATTGCAAGCATTGTATTAGGCAAGAGGGTAAGGAAGTCGTATCTGTGAGGATGCTCAGGACAGACCAGGTCAACAATAAGTAGAAGGACAGCCTACGACATGCACAGCACGATTATTCGAACATCAAGCCAATTCTAGAATGGATGAAGGCCGGTGCTCCTAAGCCCAAGTGGAGCGACGTTTTAGCGATGAGTTCGACCACGAAAAGCTATTGGGCCCAATGGGACAGCTTGCTGATACAGGATGGAGTCCTGTTCCGTAAATGGGAATATGGTCGGGGAGAGAGTTGTCATTTGCAAATGGTTGTCCCTAAAGCTAAAGTACCGGATGTTCTACAGCTGTACCATAAAGGTTGTTCAGAAGGCCATCTGGAAGTTAAACGAACTCTATTGAAGATCCGAGAACGGTTTTACTGGGTCCACTGTCGTGACGATGTCGAGGACTGGTGTCGCAAATGTACAAGTTGTTTGGCTGTAAAGGGGACTCAGATTCGTAGTAGAGGCGCATTGAAATTGTACAATGTTGGTGCAACATGAGAGAGGATAGCCATTGACGTAGCGGGGCCGTTTCCGGAAAGTGAAAGTGGTAACAAGTATTTCATGGTTGTGATGGATTACTTTACTAAGTGGCCAGAAGTCGTCGCCATTCCAAATCAAGAATCTTCAACAGTTGCAGATAAACTAGTTAATGAAGTCTTCTGTCGTTTTGGAGTACCTTTAGAGACTCACAGCGATCAAGGAAGGGATTTTGAGTCTCAAATATTCCAGGGAACTTGCCGAGTTATGGGTACTCATAAAACAAAAACAACTTCTTACCACCCACAATCTGATGCAATGGTAGAACGATTTAATCAGACATTGGAGAGGTACCTAGCAAAAGTTGTGGAAAAACGGCAACGAGACTGGGACAGGCACATACAACCGTTTTTGTTATCATATCGAAATGCTGTTCATGAAAGTACATCAGTGACACCAGCTTTCGTAAACATTGGGAGAGAATTACAGCTGCCTGCAGACCTGATCACCGGAATACCATCTGATGCCCCACACAGTATAACTGATTATGCAAATGACTTGCAGAACAAAATGAATGATATTTATTAGCACGTCAGACAGTCGGACAAACGTCTGAGCAGATGAAAACACGGTATGACCGCAAAATGAACAACAAAGGGTTTGACGAGGGTTCACTAGTGTGGTTACACAATCCAGTTCGAAGCAAAGGGAAATCTCCTAAGCTTCAAGCTAAATGGGATGGACCGTTCCGGATTGTGACAAGGATCAATGACGTAACCTACCGGATACAGAAAGGTGCCAGAGGTACTCCTAAGATCGTCCATGTGGATCGACTGGCGCGTTATTATGGGGCCAATAATGCTCGGGACGAGCATGTCTTAGGAGGGGGCAGTGTTGCACGCCACTATTAATGTCTTGTACATGACAACACTAGTTACCACTAGCGCCCTCTAGTATCGACTATCGAGTAGCAGAACTAGGAGAGTCAAGATCCTTCTAGAAATTTCGGAACCGATATGTACTCGAACATTCTAGATGTTTCTACAGTAGAAGGTTCTGGAAACAATCGGCAGTTTTTAATTGTCTCGAACCCGAAGCTCGTAACAATATTATATCGAAAGGAGTGCCGTGATTGTTCCGGAAATAATTATGTCCGCGCATACAACGCGAAAAACCTAAGTTTAATCATAGAATAAATAACATGGTTTAATCCTCACCGAAACTAAAGAGATTATTAATGTATGTATGTAATAAAATGAGATAGGCACTATTTAAATCTTTGATTTGATTGACATTCCTGCTCCACATCACAACGTTTTTAAGGTAAATACATTATAATAAAATATATAATAAAGTTTACATTGTTGTATGAGTTATTCTGCCTATGACTAAATAAAGATCAGGAAAGAGAAACACAAACCGCCTTTTTGCTTTAGGCAGGTATAGGTACATTTGCACAACGCCATCTATCGACTACACTGGTTAACTATTGTGCTTTTCTAACTGCGATGGTATTATATTAATCTTTGTAAGAAAAAAATATTATTATTAACCGACTTCAAAAAGGGGGAGGTACTTTAATTCGACTGTATTTTTTAGGTGTATTGTTTATTGTACCTCATAACTTATTTCTAATAGGAGCGTGTTTTTAAAATGTTTGTTGGTGGGTAGTATGTACGTAGTTATATTTTCAATTTATTTATCATTGTTTTCAGTGCTTACGATCACGATGCCTCCCAAACGGGCATTGTGGTCAGAAGACGATCTGATCGCAGCTGTCAGAGCAGTACAAAGAGGAACTTTGAGTACGTATAAGGCTGCAGAGATCTATAAGTTTCCTA